TAATAAAGTCCTCAGGTAATCAAGAATTTTATATTTGGGTAAAGTAGACATGGACCAGAAAGAGATTTGAAATGTAAAAGTTTAATCAAGTAAAACAAGTAATGGTACTTCAGAGACATATAGTGAGTAAGGTGGAGCAAAAAGACAGAGGAAGACCTATGATCAATGACTTAAAAAACCCTCAAAACGAGGTATGACTTGGGTACTAAATTACGTATATTTTTTAACATTTATAATGGTAAAACATTCTATAAATATGTAATTTTTTTGGGGGGGTGGGCGAGCGAGGGGGAGCTCACTCAAATATAATTTGATCAAAAATGACGTTAAAACAGGCAAATAACTACGTAAATTAAGTGGGATCTGAGGGCAGCGGGGGGGGGCTGAGACTCACTTTCGTCAATACAACTATATAGTATAGGGATATATAAATGTTACCGGCAAAGTATGAGATTCAGGTATTCTATAGAATGCCGGGCTGTTTTAGGTTAAGTATGAAATACTAGATTCTTTCAACACTTTGCCTAGGCATTTTATGAAACGCCTATATTAATTCGCCTATATTATAATTCTATAGAATGCCTAAGAGGTATCCGGCAAAGTAATAATTAAGGATAATCTGTTAATAGTAAATTTATTTGAGGCTCGAAATTTGCATTTGCATCGAAAAAATGCATTTATTCTAATTACAAAACTATTTACAGACGATCTATTTAAATTAATATGGTTAAAAAAACTTATTTGTTTCAACACTATAAACTTTTATGACATCGCGAATTACACAGTCTGTTATTTTTAAAACATATGTGGCGTCCCAGCCTTGCGCACAAGCAGCGCGTTCGAGGCGCAAACAGACGCTTGTGTTTTAACCGCGAGCTCTGCTGATTTCGTCCAATCAGCGAGCCTCGCGCCCCCCTCGAGCCTACCAATCCACAAGCTGCCACAGCTGTAGCGAGACGACAAGGAGAAGAAGAAGAAGAAGAAGAAGAAGAAGAAGGAGACAGAGTCTCTTGAGTACTGCCGAGTCAGGCAGTTATGTTTTGCCTTTTGTAGTTAATAAAAACTAAAATGTACAGTTCACGCGTTGAGCATCATTTCTCGCTCCCGTGCTCCGTGTCCTTGTCCTGTCGTTGAGGCGCCTTGTTTCGCCGAGCCTCACCCTCGCGATCCCCAAAGTGGTGACTCCGAACTAAAAATTTTGTGGGGACGTGAACAATCAGTAAGCACACGGTAAACATGTGGTGCAGTACACAGCACTCACGCTAATGGCCATCTTGGGCCGGGCATGTTCAACTGGCAAAAGACAAGCCGAGGTCGCTCAACGTCGAGAAGTGACGAACATCGGAGACAATCCGAAAGGCTCCAAGGTATACCCGGGCGCTCTTTCGAGGACAGTGCAGCCATTCTCGCAGCAGCTTCATCTCTGCAACATCCCTTCTCTGCACCTACATCGAGCGTCGGTTTCTTCACGCCGACATCAACATCGTCCTCCGGCCTTTCTCTCGACTCAGAGCAGCCCGAACATAACAACACAACCTCGCCGGACGACTCCGACCTCGAGGCCGACAAAACAATCGTGAGTACAAACCACGACACTTCTATCGACACATCTGCCCCACCTACAAGCATGAACAACACAAAATGCGATTTGCCGCGTTTTTGGCGAAATGCAGCCAAAGCGTGGTTCACTCAGGCAGAGTGTCTAATGGCAACGAGCAACCTCGCCGACGACAATGCAAAATTCAACGGGCTTGTCGGCGCGCTCGATCAAACGACGGCCATGGAGGTGATGGACTTCATCGACCCGCCTCTTGTTAACGATAAATATAAAACGCTCAAGGAAGCCATTTTGAGTTGCACTACAGACTCAACGGAGAAAATGCTACATACGCTGCTTACAGGTATTTCTCTTGGAGACGACAAACCGTCGACCTTATGGCGTAAAATGAAGGCTCTAGCAGGCAATAAAGTCACTGAGGACGCACTCAAGGTTTAGTGGCTCGATACCTTACCCCAAGCCGCGGCAATGTTTTTAAGCATCCTAAAAACAGCCTCCATGAACGAACTCACCGAGGCAGCCGACAAGCTTGTCGAAACAAGCGGCTCAGTGATGGCTGTTTCCAAGCCGTACACCCCTCCGCCTGCAGCCGCGCATCAGGATCTCGTCCAAGAGTTGGCAGCTCTCAGAGCAGCCATAACCCAGCTCACGACGCAGCAATCACCAGCCGCTCAAAATCAATAAAGAGGCCGCAGTCGAGGGCGCGGCAGGGCCAACAACCGTCAGCGCAGCCGCTCAGCCACCCCTACCGCCCCAGGCCTCTGCTGGTACCATAGGAAATACGGCGCTGAAGCTGAGCACTGCACATCCCCGTGCAATTTCGTCCCACAACAACCGGGAAACCGCTAACCTCCCCTCTGGAGCAGGCGTCAGAGGCCCGGCTGGGTTTTGATGCACGCCTGCATATTTATGATACGCGCTCCCGTATCAAATTTTTAATTGATTCTGGTTCCTCAGTCTCTTTGCTGCCCAAGGCCAACTCCACGGAGCCGCTCACGCTGCAGCCGCTCACGCTGCATGCCGCAAACCACGCTCCTATCGCCACCTTCGGCAAACGCCAGATGACCCTCAACCTCGGACTTCGTCGGGACCTACCATGCGACTTCATCCTGGCTGAAGTACCTCTCGCCATCCTAGGCGCCGATTTTCTCGCACGGCACGGACTCCTTCCCGACTGCAGGCACCATCGAATCATCGACTTACTTACGGGCCTATCCTCCAATGGTTTCAAGGAGAAGGCGCTGCTGCACTCGGTGTCCACCCTATCGCCTCTGCTAGACAACCCGATCGCAGAGCGATACATGGCCCTTCTAGATGAGTTCGCCGACCTGTTCGAAACCTCCGGCAGCCCAGTGCAGATCCCAGGCCTGCCAATGAGGCACAGCATAATCACCACTGGCCCACCAGTCGCAGAACGCCCTCGAAGGTTAACGGGCGATCGCCTTGCAGCAGCTAAACAAGCGTTTGATGACCTCCTAGACAAGGGCATCATTCGACCGTCCAACAGTCAGTGGGCAAGCCCTTTGCATCTTGTGCCCAAGAAGGACGGCGCGCGGCGCTTGGAGAGTCACAGGGGATTACAGGCGACTGAACGCATGCACTACACCCGATATGTATCCCTTACCGCTCATCGAAGATTTGTTACAGGAGAGCCCAGGCAATGTTTTCTCAACTGTAGATCTACAAAAGGCCTTTCATCAAATTCCTGTGGCGAAAGAAGACGTCGAAAAAACGGAAGTCACTACTCCTTTTGGTCTCTTTGAGTTTCTTGGCACATCTTTAGGACTCAGAAACTCAGCCCAATCAATGCAGCGAACGATGAACCACCTACTTCGAAAACTTCCGTTTGCCAAAGCATATATAGACGACATTTTCGTCGCTTCACCGAACCATGAAGAACATCTGGCACACTAAAGGCAACTTTTCTCAACCCTCAGAGAAGCCAACCTCAAAATCAACAGGAAAAAGTGCACCTTTGGTAAACCGCAGGTCCTATATTTAGGCTACGAAGTTTCTAGCGAAGGTTTTAGGCCTCCAGAAACCAAAATCGCCGCTATTAAAGAGTTTTCAACGCCAACCAACGTCACGGAATTACGCCGTTTCCTCGGCATGCTAAACTACTACCGGCCCTGCATTCCGCGAGCAGCTGACATCCAGGCGCCGCTTCACGAGTTGGTTCGAGGCCAACCAAAGAAAAAGAAAAAACTCGTCTGGACGCCAACAGCCAACGAAGCTTTCCAACGCTGCAAAAACTCAATCATCGAAGCAGTCGGTGCCACCTTCCTCAAACCAAACGCTCCACTTGCGCTTCGAACAGACGCATCGAACGAGGCCATTGGCGCGGCCTTAGAGCAACAGGAACCGGACGGCACCTGGCGCCCGCTAGGTTTTTTCTTACGAAAGCTCAGCCTTACCCAACGTCGCTACAGCACGTACGACCGAGAGCTCTTGGCCATTAGCTCTGCAATCAAGCACTTTCAAAGGATCCTAGAGGGGCGCAGCTTCACAACGTACACAGATCATCGCCCGCTCATTTTCGCCTCACGCCAACGATCGGATAAAGCCTCTCCCAGGCAAGTCCGCTGCCTGGAGTTCATAACTCGTTTCAACACGACACTCAAGCATTCCCGAGGCAAGGAAAACGTCGTCGCTGACGCCCTCTCGCGCACGGACACTAAAGATTAGGACCTTCTAGAGCCCAACACGCAAAACGATGCCGCACCAGCTCACAAGGACCTTTCTTCTCCAGACGTGTCCACAATCACGATGCCATGTCAGCTCAATGCAGCTGCAATCGCCGCAGCGCAAACAATTGACGAACAGCTACCGGATGTACTCAACCACCCAAGCCTCGATCTACAACACCTAGTGCTCGACGGCCATGCAGTTTGGTGTGACGTGTCACACAACGTCGTGCGGCCATACCTTCCGGCACAGCTGCGCAGAACAGCCTTCGAAGCAGCACACAATCTGTCGCACCCAAGCATCAAAACGACCACTCGCTCAGTCGCCCAAAAATACGTCTGGCCCGGTATGCGAAAGGAAGTCGCCTCTTGGTCCAAGTGCTGCGCACCGTGCCAAACAGCAAAGGTCAGCAGGCACAACAGGTCAGCTCTCGGTCGTTTCACCGAACCTGACAACAGATTCGAGCACATACACATCGATCTCATCAAACTACCACTTGTACAAGGGATGCAATACTGCCTCACAATCATCGACCGTTTCTCTCGCTGGCCAATGGCAGTCCCTTTACCCAACATACAAGCCAACACAGTCGCCAAGGCGATGCTTCACTGGATCAGCGCTCATGGCACTCCAATTTTCATCACTTCAGACAGAGGTGCACAGTTCGAATCTGAACTGTTTCAAGAACTGGCTAAGATGTACGGAGTCACCCACGTCAAAACTACGTCGTACCACCCGCAGTCTAACGTCTAACAGTATGGTCGAACGCCTCCACCGAACGCTAAAAGCCGCACTCAAGTGCACTCCTCAGCCTTGGGTAGACGCTTTGCCCTCAGTCTTACTTGGCCTCAGGACAATTTTTAAGGACGACCTCAAAGCTTCACCAGCAGAAATGGTATACGGCACCACACTCCGTATCCCAGGAGAATTCTTCACGTCGTCAACGCCTGTAGCCGACAAATCGACCTTCGTCAGAAGCCTCCGTCACCTGTTCAAAGCTCTTCAATCAGTGCCAGCCTCCCGTCATACCACGCAACGACCTTTCGTTTTCAAGGATCTGTCAACATGCACACATGTTTTCAAGCGGATAGACAGCATCAAAAAACCGCTGGAACCTCCTTATACGGGACCACACCGAGTGCTCAACAGGAACGACCCAAGGACTTTCACAATCGAAGTTGAAGGAGAAGCCAAAGTTGTTTCAACCGATCAACTAAAACCAGCACACCTGGAGGAATCGGAGAGGGTCCAGGAATTTTCCCAGCAACTATCTTCCAGGGCACCTCCAACCAAATCCGATTCAGCAACTCCTCTTCGAGCTCAACCAACGCCTCCACCGGTAAGCCGAGCTCGCCACGTCACGTTCGCAGATTCCCCCAAGCTGCTCACTGGCGGGGGAGTGGATGTGGCGTCCCAGCCTTGCGCACAAGCAGCGCGTTCGAGGCGCAAACAGACGCTTGTCCCGCGCGCTGTGTTTTAACCGCGAGCTCTGCTGATTTCGTCCAATCAGCGAGCCTCGCGCCCCCCTCGAGCCTACCAATCCACGAGCTGCCACAGCTGTTGCGGGACGACAAGGAGAAGAAGAAGAAGAAGAAGAAGAAGGAGACAGAGTCTCTTGAGTACTGCTGAGTCAGGCAGTTATGTTTTGCCTTTTGTAATGAATAAAAACTAAAATGTACAGTTCACGCGTTGAGCATCATTTCTCGCTCCCGTGCTCCGTGTCCTTGTCCTGTCGTTGAGGCGCCTTGTTATTTAGCCGAGCCTCACCCTCGCGATCCCCAAACATATACATTTTTTTGTCGTACACCGCGATTTGCAAGAACATTTTCTTATTTTTTGCCCAGTTCCATTACTTTGTTCAGTTGCTATAGCTCGCACCGAAGATTCAGTCTTGGGAACTTCGTCAATATGAATCAAATTTTCTTCACAAATACTAAATTGCGATCGTGCATAGAATTGTTTGATTTTACCATTACGCGTACCTAACTTGTAAAACCCGTCGTCAGTAGCTAATTAGCTTTTCCAAAACTACAGCTAATAAATTACGCACGTAAAACAACAAATTTCGTCATGTGGTCTTGATAGATGAAAATAAACTAATATTCACCGTCAGGCTGAGACTGAAAATCAATCAAGTCTATCTGGCATCTGGAGTTAAAATGGTGTGAAATTATTGGTTTCACCACAATTCCCTTCTTGATTCCCTTTTTCTTCTGTTGACATGGTTCACACAAATTCAAAAATAATTGAATTTGATTACGTGTTATGTTCTTATACTTTTTATTTATTTCATAGATCATTCGAT